TGCAAATGGTAAGAATTCCTTTTTTATGGCAGCATAGTATTCCATTGTGTAGATGTACCATAATTTTCTGATCCAGTTTATGTGTCATGACATGAAAAAGGTTGGAAATCGCTGGCTTACATCATTTGGCTATCACTTCTGGTACTTGGAATAAAGTCTTACTAGTATTTGATATACCAGATGTGGTGGGTGAGTTAGCTAACTTCCCTAAAGCTCAATTTTTACATTGGTATAATGGGACAAATAGTTTAAAGGCCTGGATGTTAAGCTTGGCTCTGACAGCTTTCTAGTTGCATAAGTCTGAGCAAGACATCTGACCTTTCTAAGACTTAATTTACTCATCTTAAAATGGAGATACATGTGAAGAATACATGAGCTAACATATGTATGTCACACTGTAAGCATTCAAATGAATTATCACCATTATTACTATCATTCAAAAAAATATAACTTTTAAAACATGCAACATTTTAAAGTTCCAAATTGGTATCTAATGTTAAAAGCAATTTTTAAAAACTCCTTACCAAATTTAAGCAATTTTTTGTTAACAATCATAGCCAACACATTCTGGACACTTAATATTTGCCAAATGCCATGTTAAACAAGTATTAAACATTGTGATCAGCCTCAATGGTGTAGGCCTGATTACCAATGATGTTGGAAATATCATTATCCCATTTTACAGATGAAGAAACAGAACTACATAATAGTGAAATGAGTTTCTAAGAGCTGGGTTACAAACTCAAGCAGTATAAGCCCCAAACCTATTTTTCTCTTAACACTTACTTACACTGTATTAAGTTGTTTTTATACTGAATAGAGTGAGGTATATACGTATGTGTGTAGATATATAATATATCTATATATATTTAAAATTTCACTTTCTATTGCCAAATTTCTTATATGTTTTTATTCTTGAGCAGACCTTTCCCCATTCTCACTCTCTGAAGACTAAAGATAAGTCAAAATATTTAGAAATAGAATAGACCTATTTCTACAAATAAGTCTATATATATTAATATATACACCTATGTGAAGTATTATAATAAATATGCTAAGAGTTCAGAGATTATATAATAACAATGATAGGAAACGGTTACTTCTTTATTATATCTTACAAGATTAAAAAAAAAAAAAAGATTGTCTTTTTATCTCTTGTTAAGAATTAAAGATCTGCCGAAGCCGGTTTGGCTCAGAGGTAGAGCGTCGGTCTGCGGACTGAAAGGTCCCAGGTTCGATTCCGGTCAAGGGCATGTACATTGGTTGCGGGCACATCCCTGGTAGGGGGTGTGAAAGAGGCAGCTGGTCGATGTTTCTCTCTCATCAACGTTTCTAGCTCTCTATCCCTCTCTCTTCCTCTCTGTAAAAAATCAATAAAATATATTTTTTAAAAAAGAATTAAAGATCTGTTCAAAGATCAGGAAATCATGTACAAGATTAATGAAATGGGATATATTAGTCTCTCATACTTCATTCTTCAGATACTTGCCATCAAGATCTGATTAAAAGGTATATCAGATCACATTACTTCCCATTCCAGCTCTGCTTAAAATTCTAAGAGTAGGTTCCTTACCATGACCCTAAAAACTCTGGCTTCTACCTACCTCTCCAACTATGTGCTAGTGCTCCCACCCCTGACTTACTCTGCGAAGCCACACTTGCTTTCTTTTAATTCCTGGACCATGCCAATGGCGCTTTCTGCTTCAGGACTTTTGCACTGGTTGTTCTTTCTGCCTGGAAGGCTATGACCCTAGATCTTCCCATGACTGGTTCCTTTTTGTTATTCACACTTCAGTTCAAATATCTCCTCCTCTGACCACTCCATAGAAATAAATCCTACCTCCACCCTCTCTCTCCCCCACTTCCTACTTTATTACCTTCATAGTACTTGTCATTATCTAAAATAGAGTATTTATTTATTGGTTATATATTCATTACCAGTCTCTTTCCCAGCAGGAATATAAATACCTTAAAGGCAGAGGCCTGAATATGTCTTTTTACCACTTTACTAACTGTATCTAAAGTAGTACCTATAGGCCTAAACAAATATATTCACTAAAGCACAGTTAAGGGATTAAATTTAGAAAGTTAGAAAGAAAATAGAATAAGATGATTAATTGGGCCCTACTTATTTAACTTGGTTGGTAATATAAATACAGGGAATATAAGACAGTTGGAAGTTTAAGTGCATGGAAATAGACAAATTAGTAAGTGTTGCCTTAATGGCCAGATTATTTTAATGCATTTTGTTAAGAACCATTCTATGGGAGAAATTTTCTTATGGTCAGGTAATCTTTCTCCATTCAACTTTCTCTTTACTTATTCAAAACAAAATATAATTAGGAAAGGAAAGATAGATAACTAATGAACAATTTACTAATATTTTAAAGTTAAGTTTTAGATTAATTTCATTTCAGGTTAAACTAGAAAATTCTTGACATCTCTTTCAATTTGCAGAAAATTGGCCACAGAAAATTTTTTATAATATCCTCTGTCAAAAGACAAATTTCTTTCATTAAGAAATTTAAAAATGCATTCTCAAACTTTAAATTCTTAGATCCTTGACAGTCTAGGAAAATTAGAACTATGTGTATATAGAAAATAAAACAAAACTGTTTGAGAGGATACATATACTTCAAGCATTGTTAAAACTAAATAGTTTAAACATGTAATTAACCAAGTATACCTCTTACTAGTGGCCCAGTGCACGAAATTCTTGCATGGGGTGGGGGGTGTCCCTCAGTCCGGCCTGCACCCTCTTCAGTCTGGGACCCCACAAGGGATGTCCTATGGAAACTGGCAGTCAGACATCCCTCCTGCAATCTGGGACCACTGGCTCCTAACCGCTCACCTGCCTACCTGCCTGATCGCCTCTAATCACTCTGCCTGCTGGCCTTCTCACCCTCAACTGCCCCCCCCCCCTTGCTGGCCTTCTCGCCCCCAACTTTCCCCCTGCCTTGCCAGCCTGCTGACCCCCAAATACCCCCCTGCCAACCTGATTGCCCCCAATTGTCCCCTGCTGGCCTGCTCACCCCCAAAAGACCCTCCTGCCGGCCTGCTTGCCCACAACTGCCCCCCCAAACAGGCCTGCTCTCCCCCAACAGCCCCCCACCAGCCTGATTGCTTATTACTATTTCTTTGTATCACCTCAGTGATATTAGACATGTTATTGACTTTGTTATTATATGTATACTAGAGGCCCGGTGCACACATTTGTGCACGGGTTGGGGTCCCTAGGCCTGGCTGACGATTGGGCCTATCATGGCCAACTCACCCAGTCTGGGCAGGAGAGACCGTGGGAGGTTGGCTGTAGAAGCACAATGATCACCTGGGGCAGCTCCTGCATTGAGTGTCTGTCCTCTGATGGTCAGTGCGCATCATAGTGACCAGTCAGCCTGTCATTCAGTTGATCTGTCAAAACGGTCACTTAAGCTTCTTCATATATATAGATATATTTTTATATTCCTATATATCTTTGCCTATTTAAGTTGAAATGCAAACTGGAATAGGCAAATGAAATAGAAAAGTGGTCTCTCCAAAACCTCAGGCAAGCCAGCTAACTTCTATAAGGAAATAGCTATTTCTTTCTATTAATAAGTGTGTGGTAAAATGAAGTCGCTTGACAGCCATCAGATTTTTTTTGTTTTGTTATTTTCAGTAATCAGTAATACCTTAAACTGCAAGAAAAAGTGGGTGTTTCTAAGCAATGTAATTTTATTAATGCAGAATCACATAAAATGTATCCTATTTTTAGATATCAGAAGAAAATAAGTATTTTAGTAAAATATTACTCAGCTATTTTACTGATTTTTATCTAATAACCCAAGAATCAAAGTAGACTTTGCTATTTCAATATCCCTAAAAATAATAAATATTATAAGAGGAATGACTGATGCTTTGTGGAACTATACAATAAAGAAATATTATTTTAATGAAAAAATATAAGCATTGTACAAGTTTCATTCAAAATAGATGGAAGAGAGAAAATCTGACTTTGGGTGATGGGCATACATTGCAACATACAGATCTTATAACAACGAAATCCACACCTCGAACCTATATGTTCATGTTGACCAATGTTACCCCAACAAATTTAAAAAAAATAAACGGAAGAGTCTAAAATTTCTATTTTCTCTTGTCTCCTCCTATTTTCTTAAGAATTGTCATATGACAATCAAACCTCCCTACTGTCTAGCTCAATGCCAGACACACAGGAAGTAGTCAATACATCCTTTGGGAATGACTTAATTTATTGTCTCCATGTACTCATAATCCAACAAAACTAGTCAACTTTCTGACATCAGATATATACTGATAAGTTTAAAAAAAATCTAACAAAGTGACCCAGGTTTATTGAACATACTAAAATGTCTTCCCTGAAAAAGATTAAACAAACAAAAGTTCATTTAATGAAGACAGTTTCAAACTTAACAACTTGATTTGAATGGGCAATATATATTCGAGATCATATTAAAGTCAGTGCAATCCACAACTTATGAATGATAGTAAATATCCTAAGAAGTTGGAGGAATGTACAGTGGAGAGGAAAATATCTAATTCAGCTTTAAAAATAGATATGAAATATACAAATCAAGATTTCAAACACAAACATGACTAATATACCTTTGCTGAACTATGAAACTCTTATTATCCTAAAATTATAACATCTCCATCTGTTAATCTGACATGAACAAGCTGATAAAATGAAATCAGAACAACAGTGTATTCTGGCAAAACTTGAAATTTCCTGAAAGCCTAGAAAAATATGTCCACAACAGATGGATCATTTAGAAAATAAATACATCAATCTGTCAAACTGAATACTATTCTAATTCTCTAAATTAAAATCAGTAGGAGCTCCTCTTTCCAAAAGTCTATGATATTAGAAAGGCCAAAAAGGAAACAAACCTAAAGATGCACATAAACAGATCTGATATGACCTAAAGTGTCATACTGTTAGGTTTCCTGTTAAACATACTTAATTTAGGTAAGGTCCTTACCAGTTAACTTCTTCACAGGTTGGAGCCGAACACTGATAGACTGATGTGTGAGTAAGGGGGAGGATGGAAGAGAGCGAGACATGCCCTCCATAATCCGAATGTGCTGCATACCTTCACTCACTGGAAGTGGTGGGACGGCGTAGTCTGGCTCAAAAGCACAGTCGCTTTCTGTGGAGATGCCACCTATTAGAAGAGAATGGAAACAATAGAGTTGGTGAGAAAAGATTCTTCCTTCTCTATTTAAAATTTGTCTTTTAGGATGATTCAGAATAACATATCATAAAAGCCTAACATGCTAAGCATTCAGTTGTCAATTAAACCAATCAAAGCATAATATGCTAATGATATGCTAAGGCCGCTCAACCGCTCACTATGATGTGTACTGACCACCAGGGTGCAGTCAACTGGTCAACCAGTCACAATGATATGCACTGACCATGGGGGAGCAGGCAGTCAACCAGTTGCTATGACGTGCACTGACCACCAGGGTGGAAGATACTCCAACTGGTAGATTAGCTTGCTGCTGGGGTCCGGCTGATCAGGACTGAGTGAGATGGGCCAGACATGCCCTGAAGCCCTCCAGTGGTTCCTCCCCAGTTGGCCAACCTCCCGGGTACCTCCCCAGCCCCACAGTGGGATCCCTTGGCCTGGCCTGTGCTTTCTAGCAACCCAGGACCCCTCGGGGGATGTCAGAGAGCCAATTTCGCCCCAATCCTGCAGCCAGGTTGAGGGACCCCACTGGTGCATGAATTCATGCACTCTGGCTCTAGTATAAAAAATAATGATAGTGCAAAGCCATAAGTATTACAATTAGAGCAAAGTTCTTCAATTCCCTCCCACCCACCCTCACCCCCGTCCCATAAGACAAACATGAAAAAAAGATATTCACCTGCTTAACAATCCAATATATGCATTTGCTACTAGGTCACTGTAACTATTCATTACCCCCTCTCTCCAAAAAAGTATGAGAAAATACAAGTGGATAAAAGACTGACATTATTACATGGTAACCTAAGAATCTTTCCCTAACATTTTAAAAAGAGTAAATTATAAGCTGTTTACTTCCAGTTACATACTGTTAACTCCAACTCCTAAGAAAGTCAGATTATATACTTCAGACCAACTTTCCCCTAAGAAAACTAGAACATTTCTTGGGTGTTCAAAAAAAAAAAATGTAGCCATACTTTGGCTGCTATTATTAATTCCAATTGGTTAAATCTGAAAAGAAAGAAACATTATTTGAGCTATCAGCTGTTAAAGTATGTATACATTTTGGGGGGGACACCCTGTATATATTTTAAATCTTTCTGAAGGCACTGGAAATTTAATAGCATAATGAAAAATTACAGAAGAAAACTGAAGCATGGCATTTGGGGCTAAAGAAGCTTTTGACAGTTTTATAGAGCTAGAAAGACAAATATTGGCATGAAGGGAGAACAAAGTTGTGAAGAGGGACCTGGTAAAACTCCAACACTTTTGTTTGGAAGGCCAAAGGGCTACACTCTAGTAGTAAATATAAACCCAAACTAGGACTGAAACCCAGCTCTAAATGTCTACCAAAAAATTAAATTAAGCAATCTTGGATTGCTAGTGCCTGCTAAAAATAAACATAAATCTTCTTAGAGGAAGATAACAATGTCAACATAGGTCTCAAATTATTTGCACAAATTTTCATACACAAAATCTGGCTCTTACTTAAAAATAACAAAGAGATAAGATAACATGAAAAAAGTAAGTCAGAAAGACCATGCAGAAGAAATAGTCTCACAAGAGATAAAAATGAACCAGGAGGCACAGAATTTAAAGTAGAATGCTTAACATAAAAAAGACTAAGATACTTAGGAGTAAATTTAACCAAGGAGGCAAAATATTTGTATACTGAAAACTATAAGACATTGATAAAAGAAAATTTAAAAACATACAAATAAATGGAAGATACCTGTGTTTATTTACTGGGAAGAATTAATATTGTTAAAATGTCCATACTACCCAAAGTGATCTATAGACTCAATACAATCCCTACCAAAATTCCAAAGAGATAATTACATTCCTTTGCTGACTGTGGCACTATTCACAATAGCCATGACTTGTAAACAACCTCAGTTTCTATTGATGGATAAATAAAGAAAATGTGATTACACATACACACACACACACACACACACACACACACACACACACACATTATTTGACCTCAGAAAAGGAAATCCTGCCCTTTGTGACAACCTGATGAATCTGGAGGATATGATAAGCAAAATAAGCCAGACATACAAAGACAAATACCTCATAATCTCACTTATATGTGGAATCTTAAAAATACAGAGAGAAGAATGGTGATTACCAGGAATTAGGGGACTGAGGGAAAAGAAAGATGTTCAAACTTTCAGTTGTTAGATAAATAAGTTCTGGATCTTAGCAAATTGACATCTTAATTAGCTTAATTGTGGTAATCATTTCACAGTGTATACATTTACCAAAACATCATGTTGTAAACCTTAAATATATACATATCATTTTTGTTTATCAATCATAACTCAATAAAGCTAGGAAACAAAGAATGGAAAATATAAAAAACAAGCACATGGTCTTACATGAAATGATGACAATGTAATTTAAACCAAGAAGTAAGATTAAATCAATTGTTCCCAATTATGTTAGCTTTAATTTCAGCATGTGAAATTCTAACTAATTTTGAAAACTTCTAGAGTATATGATCCTATATAATAAAAGAGTAATATGCAAAATGACCATCACTCCAACACACAAGATGGCCACCCCATGAGGACACAAGATGACTGCCACAAGATGGTCAGCAGGGGAGAGCAATTGTGGTGATCAAGCCAGCAAGAAAGGGCAATTTGGGGGGACCTGGCCTGCAAAGGGAGGGCAGTTGGGGGCAAACAGGCCTGCAGGGGAGTGCAGATGTGGGGAACAGCCTGTAGGAGAGGGCAGTTGCAGGGAACCAGGCCTGCAGGGGAGGGCAGTTGGGGGGGACCATACCTGCAGGGGAGGGCTGTTGGGGGTGATCAGGTCTGTAGGGGAGGGCAGTTGGAGGTGATCAGGCCTGCAGGGGAAGGCAGTTGGGGGAAAACAGGCCTGCAGGAGAAAGCAGATGTGGGGAACTAGGCCTGCAGAAGAGGGCAGTTGGAGGGGGGGGGGGAGAGACCAGGCCTACAGGGCAGTTGGGGGCAACCAGGCCAGCAGGGGAGAGCAGTTAAGGGCAATTGGGCCAGCAGGGGAGCAGTTAGGCATTGATCAGGCTGGCAGTGGCGTGGTTAGGGGATGATCAGGCTGGCAGGCAGAAGTGGTTATGGGCAATCAGGCAGGCAAGTGGTTGGGAGCCAGCAGTTCTGGATTAGAGAGGGTGCAGGATGAGCTGAGGGACACACACACCCCATGCACGAATTTCGTGCACTGGGCCTCTAGTGTATTATAATTTAACCAGTCTCTTATTTATGGCCACTTATGCAGTTCTTTCTAGATGTAGATCCTAAAAACAGAACTCCTATGGTAAAAGTGCTGAGAATTTCTATTGAGAAATACTGACCAAATGCTGTATTAAAAGTCTGTATTGCCCTAGCTGGTTTGGCTCAATGGATAGAGTGTCATCCTGTAGACTGAAGGGTCCAAGGTTCGATTCCTGTCAAGGGCACATACCTCAGTTGCACGCAGGAGGCAACCAATTGATGGGTCTCTTTCACATGGATGTTTCTCTCTGTGTGTCTCTCTCCCTCCCTTCACTCTCTCTAAAAGTCCATGGAAAAGTATCCTTGGGTAAGGATTAACAACAACAGCAAATCTGTATCATGTTGCATATTTTTTTTTTAAGCATGCTTAATATTTGAGGAAAATGAAAGTATGGAATTTCAGCAATGACTTAAAATTATGAAAACAAAAACTTGATAGACTGAACAAGAGATTAGATAGAATTAATAAACTGGAAAATAAAACATTTGTGTATCAAAGGCACTATCAAGAGTGAGAAACTCTCAGAATGATAGAAAATATTTGCAAATCAGGTATCTGATAAGTGTCTAGAATTCAGAATATATATAGAACTCCTACAACTTAATGATAAAAATACAAACAATACAATTTAAAAATAGGCAAAGGACTTGAAAAGACCTTCAAAGGAATGAAGATCTATAAATTGATAATAAGCACTCACATTAAAAGATATTCAACATTATTACCCGTTACAGAAATGCAAATCAAAGCCAGGATGAGATATTGCTTTAAAACCACTAGGTGTTTTTTTTTTTTTAATCCTCACCCAAGTATATGTTTTTCTGATTTTTAGAGAAAGGGGAAGGAAGAGAGAGAGAAAAAACATTGATGTGAACGAGAAACATCAATTGGTTGCCTCCTGTACAAGTGAGTGAAGCACCTCTTTTCACTTGAAATGTTCTAAGTTAAATGATAATTTTAGAATCTAATAATACTCCTTAAGGAATAATATTGCAATTAGTCCAATCTGGATGTCCTAGTTTACTTTTCTGCTTAAAAATATTTTCCTTCATCTTCTCTGTCCTATAAATTGTGCTTGAACTCATTGTAACTATAGGGAAGGAAAAAAGCCTAAAAAATGTATGTTTTAACTAAAGAAAAGTACTGGGAAGCATTCACATAATTGGACTGTATTAGTCAATCTTTCATGGGTAGATTGGGCTATCAGGTTCAGAACTACTCTGATGTGTCTTTGGTTTGGGGCCTACTCACTGAAGGGTCAGTAATTACATAGGTAATGCTCTTCTTTATAGTAGGTCACAGGAGTGCAGGAGGCCAAGTCAAGTCAGAGGAGCATATATAAGGCCTCTGTTCACTCACATTCCACCTGGCATACTTTAAAGAGAACTAGTAAAAAATTACATAGCAAAAGAAATAAATATAGAATTTTATAACAGGGAGAAAGTAAAAAATTGGGAACCCAATTTACCAAGCATATAAGATAATATTAATTGGTACCCCAAAGTACTTAATCTTTATTTCCTACCTTTCCTTTTACTACCACTTTTTAAAAAAATATATATTTTATTGATTTTTTACAGAGAGGAAGGGAGATAGAGAGCCAGAAACGTCGATAAGAGAGAAACATCGACCAGCTGCCTCTTGCACACCCCCTACTGGGGATGTGCCCGCAACCAATGTACATGCCCTTGACTGGAATCGAACCTGGGATCTTT